TATAGCGCCATTGGTTTCACGCTGCATTCTTGTGAGTGCAGATGTCAAAGTTAACTTATTGTTTTAGTTTGGAAATCAACAGTTTGAAAATAAAACCAACAGCTGGTCACATCAAGTTGCCACTTAAAACATCATGAGATAATTGATTCCGGATAAGAAACGGCGATCGTCTCTACTGAATGGATCGGACACAATGTGTGAAGCCTAAGATCGTCTGGCAGCAAATACACAACCAAACTGGGCTCCTCATAATTTAAGTACAAAAGCATCAAACCAGAGCTAACACCCATGCATAGCGTGACATTAAATCACTTATAACCTCATGCAATAAGGGACCGTTCATAATTCATGGCCAGTGGAGGTGACCATGGTTTGTTTTTTTGGTGTGTGTGTTTGTGTTTGTTTGTTTTGGGGGTGGGTGGTTTGCGAGGATGTTTTCTATGGAGAAACATGTTCAATGTGAATCACCCCCCTAAATATTATGTAAAAGGTAAATGACCCCTCCTGCATGTCTTTTACAAAATCAATGCCCCCACCCCTCCTTATAATTTGTATGCATAACCTTAAAATATTTTTATGTACAAAATTGCTGACAGGGTGCGCGCACGCACGCACGCACACACACACGCCACAAATTATTAACGTTCCTTCATGGTAGGATATATAAATATGGGACTCACCTTAAATGCCATCTCTGACGATTTGATCCGGATTTATGGTCAGAGGTCTAAACCCACGCCGTTCGTCGATGCGACCTGTGTTGGGATCACAACGTGACAGGGGCCGTGATCGCGTAGAAAAGAATTACAGCTCTCTGAGTAAAGGACAAACGGTACTTAGAGGGGCTCATTTCGATGTTTGGTTACAACCAGATCACACTCTCGTTGTTGGGGGAGATTATTCAGGGACAATTCAAAATCTACTGCCTTTGTGCTTTATAGGCTCATACCTGGGGCGAAAGAAAGAGACTGCAGTGGGTTATGATATTGGGAGTTCAGAAATACAGTGTGACGTATAGAGTCAGAGTATATCGTTCCACGGTGCTTTTGTTATTGTCGGTTAACGGAATGTGGTTGGCAGGTATAGATTACTTGACTACGCCGCCTTCACAGGTAGATGATTGTGAGTGTTTGTGTTTATAACCAGGGGATCGATCACTCATTGAATGTGTTTATAGGGCAGTGTATCGATAGAGAGAGTGTCTGTGTGATGGGATGAGTGTCTGTGTGATGGGATGAGTGTCTGTGTGATGGGATGAGTGTCTGTGTGATGGGATGAGTGTCTGTGTCATGGGATGAGTATCTGGTATGAGTGTCTGTGTGATGGCATGAGAGTCTGTGTGATGGGATGAGGCTGTGTGTGATGGTATGAGAGTCTGTGTGATGGGATGAGAGTCTGTGTGATGGGATGAGAGTCTGTGTGATGGGATGAGTGTCTGTGTGATGGGATGAGAGTCTGTGTGATGGGATGAGAGTCTTTGTGATGGGATGAGAGTCTCTGTGTGATGGGATGAGTGTCTGTGTGATGGGATGAGTGTCTGTGTGATGGGATGAGAGTCTGTGTGATGGGATGGGATGAGAGTCTGTGTGATGGGATGAGAGTCTGTGTGATGGGATGAGAGTCTGTGTGATGGGATGAGTGTCTGTGTGATGGGATGAGTGTCTGTGTGATGGGATGAGAGTCTGTGTGATGGGATGAGTGTCTGTGTGATGGGATGAGTGTCTGTGTGATGGGATGAGTGTCTGTGTGATGGGATGAGTGTCTGTGTGATGGGATGAGTGTCTGTGTGATGGGATGAGAGTCTGTGTGATGGGATGAGAGTCTGTGTGATGGGATGAGTGTCTGTGTGATGGGATGAGTGTCTGTGTGATGGGATGAGTGTCTGATGGGATGAGTCTGTGTGATGGGATGAGAGTCTGTGTGATGGGATGAGAGTCTGTGTGATGATGGGATGAGGATGAGAGTCTGTGTGATGGGATGAGAGTCTGTGTGATGGGATGAGTGTCTGTGTGATGGGATGAGTGTCTGTGTGATGATGGATGAGTGTCTGTGTGATGGGATGAGAGTCTGTGTGATGGGATGAGAGTGTCTGTGTGATGGGATGAGCGTCTGTGTGGTATGATGGGATGAGAGTCTGTGTGTGATGATGGGATGAGTGTCTGTGTGATGGGATGAGTGTCTGTGTGATGGGATGAGAGTCTGTGTGAGAGTCTGTGTATGGGATGAGAGTCTGTGTGATGGGATGAGAGTCTGTGTGATGGGATGAGCGTCTGTGTGATGGGATGAGCGTCTGTGTGATGGGATGGGAGTCTGTGTGATGGGATGAGAGTCTGTGTGATGGGATGAGAGTCTGTGTGATGGGATGAGAGTCTGTGTGATGGGATGTGTGTCTGTGTTATGGGATGAGTGTCTGTGTGAGAGTCTGTGTGATGGGATGGGAGTCTGTGTGATGGGATGAGAGTCTGTGTGATGGGATGAGAGTCTGTGTGATGGGATGAGCGTCTGTGTGATGGGATGTGTGTCTGTGTGATGGGATGAGAGTCTGTGTGATGGGATGGGAGTCTGTGTCATGGGATGAGAGTCTGTGTTATGGGATGAGTGTCTGTGTCATGGGATGAGAGTCTGTGTGATGGGATGGGAGTCTGTGTTGTGGGATGGGAGTCTGTGTGATGGGATGGGAGTCTGTGTGATGGGATGGGAGTCTGTGTGATGGGATGAGCGTCTGTGTGATGGGATGGGAGTCTGTTTGATGGGATGAGAGTCTGTGTGATGGGCTCGCGTCTGTGAGGCAGGGGACGAACGCAGGTGCGTCTTAATCTTCCTGAATGATCAAACCACGTATGTTTACGCTGGTCTCTAAAAACAGAAATATGAAAATCATTCTTTGAGCCACACAGTACAATGAATACGACATTAAATCGTATTGTGCACCCCCCACTCCACCCCACCCCACCCCCACTACTGCGTGGCTATGCACTGGTGACCCGGAAGCCGAGCAAAACAGGAAGAATGTCCAGTGAAGTAGGCCACAGACAGACGTGTGCTAGTGCAACCAAGCAGAGAGACAAAACACGTAAACATTGAAAAGGTATACCGAGGATCCGCAAGGGTTTACAGCCTATAATTTATAAACTGTCTTAAGGTACATACATTTGGAGAGGGTGATGTAGAAAGTGATTTTTGTGTATCCATTTGAAAAACAATTTCATGTTACAGTAGAATTTTCTCATGTACAGTGGTAAACAGGCTAATGTACTTAGATTTGTTATAGAAGGCGTCTGTTCTCTTAGCACACACAACACGCATGGAGAGGTAGGTAGAAGGATGGGGATTTGGTTTTGGAAAGGCTGATGGGTGGGTGGATGAAAAGGCACATGGATAGGTAGGTTGAAAAATAGATAGAAAATGGATGGATGGGTAGGTAGGTGGGGGTGTAGCTGGATGGATGGATAGGAAGGTGGGGGTGTAGCTGGATGGATGGGTAGGTAGGTGGGGGTGTAGCTGGATGGATGGGTAGGTAGGTGGGGGTGTAGCTGGATGGATGGGTAGGTAGGTGGGGTGTAGCTGGATGGGTTGGTAGGTAGGTGGGATACAGCTGGGTGGGTATTTAGGCAGGGTATAGATGGATCTGTGGGTAGGTAGGTAGGGTGTGGATGGATTGATTGGTATTTAGGTGGGATACAGCTGGGTGGGTATTTAGGCGGGGTATAGATGGATCTGTGGGTAGGTAGGTATAGGGTGTGGATGGATTGGTTGGTATTTAGGTGGGATACAGCTGGGTGGGTATTTAGGCGGGGTATAGATGGATCTGTGGGTAGAGTAGAGTAGGGTGTGGATGGATTGGTTGGTATTTAGAGTGGGATACAGATGGGTGTATTTAAGTATTTAGGCAGGGGTATAGATAGATGGGTAGGTATATTGGTTGGTATTTAGGTGGTTGGTGGGTGGGTATTTAGGCAGGAGTATAGATGGATCTGTGGGTAGAGTAGGTAGGGTGTGGATGGATTGGTTGGTATTTAGGTGGGATACAGATAGGTGGAAGTATATTAGGCAGGAGTTATAGATAGATGGGTGGGTATATTGGTTGGGTGTAGGTGGTTGGTGTATTTATTTAGGTATAGATGGATTGTTTTTGTATTTAGGTAGGGTACAGATAGATGGGTGGGTATATTGGTTGGAGTGTAGATGGTTAGTGGTGGGTATTTAGGTTATTGGGATTAGTATGGTATCTGATGGGTGGAGGTATATTGGTTGGGTGTAGGTGGTTGGTGGTGGGTATTTAGGCGGGGTATAGATGGATCTGTGGGTAGGTAGGTGGCGTGTAGATGGTTAGGTGGGTATTTAGGTTGGGTTTAGATGGATCTGTGGGTAGGTAGGTGGGGTGTAGATGGTTAGGTGGGTATTTAGGTGGGGTTAGATGGATCTGTAGGTAGGTAGGTGGGGTGTAGATGGTTGGTTGGGTATTTAGGTGGGGTTTAGATGGATCTGTAGGTAGGTAGGTGGGGTGTAGATGGTTAGGTGGGTATTTAGGTGGGTTTTAAGATGGATCTGTAGGTAGATAGGTGGGGTTTAGATGGTTGGGTGGGTAGTTAGGCGGGGTATAGGTGGATGGGTGGGTAGGTATGTGGTGTGAAAAGATTGATGGGTGGGTAGGTACGTTTGGTGTAAATGGATGGATGGGTGGGTAGGTAGGTTGGTTGTAAATGGGTGGATGGGTTGGTGGGTGGTGTGTAAATGGATGGGTGGGTAGGTAGGTGGTGTGTGTTAATGGATAGATTGGGTAGGTAGGTAGGTGGTGTGTTAATGGATGGGTGGGTAGGTAGGTGGTGTGTTAATGAATGGTGTTAGGTGGTAAGGTGTGTTAATGGATGGGTGGGTAGGTGGTGTGGTGTTGTGTTAATGGATGGGTGGGTAGGTAGGTGGTGTGTTAATGGATGGGTGGGTAGGTAGGTGGTGTGTTAATGGATGGGTGGGTAGGTAGGTTGGGTTTAAATGGATGGGTGGGTATTTAGGTGGGGAAAAGATGGTTGGGATGGAATAGTAAAAAAGGAAGAAATGTATCGGAAGACTGATATCCAGATGAGGCAGATGTTATTCGGAAGTCATCCTGGAGCTTTTGGTCCGCATGACTGAGCATAAGATCGTAAACAACAAGTGTCACGTGTTCTCAGCTGAACCCAGGCAGACATAACGTATATCCTTGTCTACCCATAAATGATTAAGCATTTTCCTTTGAAACTGAAAGCTTGCGTCATGCAATGTACTGGCTTCACAAGCTACAAACATTACACCCATGTGTTGGCGTAAGACCAAGCTATATCGTCGCTCGCAGGTCAGTCTGTGTGTCTCAAGATTTTGAATCATTTGTTATATTCTGACAGAAGACACAGTGTGATAACAAGTAATTAATTGTCACCAAGGAGTCGTGACGTCATGGAAATGCTTCCCGGCGTCCAGCCAGGCACTCTGGGCCTTGACCTGAAGATTGGCGCACACGAAAAGAGCCTAAAATACAGGACATTCATCGTTGAAGGCATATTAAAGGAAACCGAATTTAAGCATTTGAAATTGGCAGCTCTAAATACACTCGGGACATTCAAATTCCACCAAGGAGAGTTTCTGGAGGCATCGGTGTATTTTCAACGAGTTTTAGATGAAGATCCTCGGAATCTTAACGCATGGGCAAATCTGAATCATGTACACCTCTCTTTAAAATGTCCAAATGGTTGGCACTTGGATGATCAGCTGAGAAAGGCAAACGATTTGGACCCTGAGGAAGACATGGCTAGAGGTCAGGCTCGGTGCTTGGCAGAACAGGCTTTCGCAGTGCGTGGGACGTGTGCCACCACCTTTACCGGCACTGACGGTTTCTTCAAATCCAATGAACTCTATTCCAGAGCATTGTCCTTAGTTAAGGATCTGCCCTTCGAAGGAGAGTTTGGTGGCTGGAAGCTTATCATGATAAAAAATCTCAGATATATTTGTCGTAATTTGGATCATCTTGAGACAGCGTCTGAAACTATTAAAGCATATTTCGAGGAGGCTGTGGATCTCGCTTGTAGTCTCTATGAAACCGTTCGCGGGAGAAAGGAATTTGCATTGTTAGAAGGCCATATCTTGATTCATCTCGGATATTTTTTGTCAAAGACGCTGAGATACGTTGACAACAGTCATTGGAATTTGACATCCGCACTTCAAGTAAAATATACCAGTCTTACTTGGGAGCTTGACAATCCTCTGGAATGCTTCAAACGAGCAGTGACCTTGGCACCGGGTAGCACCAAAGTCTTAAACATGAGTGCCCGATCAATGAATTTGTATCTGAATGGAGACATGAATACGTCATTAGAACTTCTTGAGCAGTCAATCGGCATTGACCCATCTCCGGTCAACTGGTTTGCGAGGTTTGAACGAGCCGACATTCGCAGACGACAGTACGTCGCAGACAAGCGGGCGTGGGAAAACGGCGACTCTATGCCTGATAGGGACCTCCTTCTCAAAGCTGTGAAGGACTATCTCTTCATCATCAAATGTACCCCTAGTCCATACTATACATGTGAACTGGCTATGGTGTACTGTGAGATTGCAATAACTTACAAACAGACTGAGGAAGAAACTCTGGGTATGTACCGGTGTTATCATCTATATATCTGTATACCCATTTATGGGCACGGTAGTCCACTCGTGTAAAATGCAGCAATTCATGTGTGTCCAGTAGACGTGCTAGTATTATTTAACGTAGGTTCGAATAGTGCCTCATAATGATTCTTGATTTGTGAGCGTTAACACCTTCAGCACGTTGGGCTTTTCTCTCACGTTAAGCGTCCCGTAAATATCCGGGTTAGAATTGATCTTTAGCAACCCATGCTTGTCGTAAGAGGCGACTAACGGGATCGAGTGGTCAGGCTCGCTGACATGGTTGACATGTGTTATCGGTTCCCAATTGTGTAGATCGATGCTCTTGCTGTTGGATTGTCTGGACCAGACTATTATTTGGAGACCGCCAATATATAGCTGGGATGTTGCTGAGTGTGGCGTTACAAACAAACAAATCACTCGCATGCTATCAAACAAAAGTGACAAGTATTACCTTCTCAACATATGTGGACTAAATATAAAATAGACATAACGCTGATTGTTGTGTATTTCAGCCAATGAATACACCATGAAGTCCTTGGAGTGTTTCCGGCGGGCCCTGGTCACTCTGGACGGGCGCCAGCTGCCACATCTTCACTATCATCACGGACTCTGTCTGAAAAACTTCGGAGAGTTGAGGTACGCCATCGAGGCCTTCAAGCGCTCTGTGGAGTCTCACGGTAAAGGAAGCACGGAGACGGGATGTTTGGAACACCTTCTGGACAGTCTGTGCAAGGAGTACATCCACAACGTCGACCGGGATCACTCTCACTCCATCCTCGCGGAAATGACCTTCTGGGTGATATGTGCTTTTGACAAATACGACACAGAAAACCTTACACTGGCTCTGGAGGCCTGTGCGCTCAAGGAACCGCTTGCCTTTACTGATCTGACCATCTCTGCTATAGCAGAGAAGGCATTTTCTGTCGGGGAAATATGTTCAGATATATGTCTAAGACTCGGAAAGGCCACGAGCGCTAGTTATTATGCGCAACGAATGAGAAAAATCTGTTCTGCCATGAAAAATTCTCAACAGTTCGTTCTTTCGACCAGAGTGCCCTCTGCCAGAAATAAGGGCGGGTTCAAGTATGATTTTGTTATTATTTACAGTGAGGGCGACAGGGCTTGGGTACTGTATTCACTTCTGTTGAAGCTTGAGCAAGAGTTCGGTTTTAAGGGATTTGTGGACGACCGTGATGCTGTTCCTGGGAAATCGCATTTGCATAATTTTGAATATGCGCTTGAGAGCAGTTATAAGGCACTGGTGATCTTGAGCCCCGACTTCCTGGACAACGCCTGGTGTAAGCATGAAATGCAGACGGCCATCACCAGGATGCTGAACAAGAAACAAATCGACACGGTCGTCCCAATAAAGATCAAGGAATGCGAGACTCCAGACTGTTTTAATTGTATCACGGCTTTTCAAGCCTTTGACAGGGTACAGTGGGACAAACTTCTCGAGGCCATGCAGTGATTTGCCATGTTGCCAGAATTTAACCCGCATCAACAAGCCCAATCGTCATACAAATTATCTTTCAGGAACCATACACCGGTGTGTAATATATAATCTGCGTCAGTAGGCAAGATGAAGTGCAGCAGAAATCTAAAATCCTAAACATTGTCCTAGATTCTATTTCGGTGTGTATATGTTTTTCATTTGGAATACACCGGGGTCCCGCCAAAAATGCCTCAGACATTTAAATGATTTTCATTGTGTTAATTGTAATTCCTGCATTCTGATTAGCTGACTGGCCAAGTGTTATTACATTCATTTACAAGCGAACGAGGGAAAATAATCAACGACCACAAAAGCCCACTACTGCCACCGCTACAGACTGTCGGGGAATCCCCATTACAGTCGAGGGAATTCCCCTGAAGATACGGGTTAGAATTGGTCTTCAGTAACCCATGCTTACGTAAGCGGCGACTAACGGGATCGGGTGGTCAGACTCACTGACTTGGTTGACACATGCCATCATATCCCAGTTGCGTAGATCGATGCTCATGACGTTGATCACTGGATTGTCTGGACCAGACTCGATTATTTACAGACCGCCGCCATATTATAGCTGGAATGTTGCGGAAGTGAAATAACCTGACGTGTAAAGGTACAGCTGAAGGATATAATGTAAGATGCGCTCAGCCCAAGTCACTCAGATACATATGTTTATAAAGAACAAAACGATAGTGAAGTGCATTGTAATTATCATTTATTCCACGATTGCTGAATATACCAGAATCTTACTATTATATATTAACAATATCCCAAATCTTGATGTTCACATATAGGCAATGTACCCAAATCTTGATGTTCACATATAAGCAATGTACCTAAATCTTGATGTTCACATATAGGCAATGTACCCAAATCTTGATGTTCACATATAAGCAATGTACCCAAATCTTGATGTTCACATATAAGCAATGTACCCAAATCTTGATGTTCACATCTAAGCAATGTACCCAAATCTTGATATTCACATACAAGCAATGTACCCAAATCTTGATATTCACATATAAGCAATGTACCCAAATCTTGATATTCACATCTAAGCAATGTACCTAAATCTTGATGTTCACATCTAAGCAATGTACCCAAATCTTGATATTCACATCTAAGCAATGTACCCAAATCTTGATATTCACATACAAGCAATGTACCCAAATCTTGATGTTCACATACAAGCAATGTACCCAAATCTGATGTTCACATCTAAGCAATGTACCCAAATCTGATGTTCACATCTAAGCAATGTACCCAAATCTTGATGTTCACATATAAGCAATGTACCCAAATCTTGATTTTCACACATAAGCAATGTAATCCAAATATTGATGTTCACATCTAAGCAATGTACCCAAATCTTGATGTTCACATATAAGCAATGTACCCAAATCTTGATGTTCACATATAAGCAATGTACCCAAATCTTGATGTTTACATATAAGCAATGTACCCAAATCTTGATGTACACATCTAAGAAATGTACCCAAATCTTGATGTTCACATATAAGCAATGTACCCAAATCTTGATGTTCACATCTAAGCAATGTACCCAAATCTTGATGTTCACATCTAAGCAATGTACCCAAATCTTGATGTTCACATCTAAGCAATGTACCCAAATCTTGATGTTCACATCTACAATGTACCTAAATCTTGATGTTCACATCTAAGCAATGTACCCAAATCTTGATGTTCACATATAAGCAATGTACCCAAATCTTGATGTTCACATATAAGCAATGTACCCAAATCTTGATGTTCACATATAGGCAATGTACCTAAATCTTGATGTTCACATATAGGCAATGTACCCAAATCTTGATGTTCACATATAGGCAATGTATCTAAATCTTGATGTTCACATATAGGCAATGTACCTAAATCTTACAAATATATGTTGGCACATATTTACAGTTGAGACAGATTTTCAAGAAATTATGGGTACCGACATCTAAAATGAACAATTAGTTATGACAAGTATTTTTTTTATAAAGAGTATGTAGAATAGTAAAGCTCTGACATCATTTGTGAACAAAGCTAATGACAAATACAAAATTATCCTTGGTGAACACAATTCTTTTTATATCTATTTTCATCACGTTGCAGCAACAGAATTTGAACAAAAATTGACAGGTATATTTCGCAAAAATGACAAACTGCACAGTTATAAAAGCAGACATTTAACAAAATAATTATTTTGAAAACTACCGTGTATAGAGGGCACAAGTATCCAGGCGTTTTGACCATCTCTAGACTCAATCAACATTAGAACTGGGCGGGGATGGAGGAGGTTGATCTGATGTCTCCGCGGTTTTGAGGCGGAAGTAGGTAAAAACAAGACTTGAATTTTGACAAGACGTTTAAATACAATAAATCATTAGGCTGTGTTAAATAGGAAATCTTTGTTAAGACTTTTCAAAAAGAGATCTTTGGTTTGTTCCGATTTTCATTACAACATGTTGGTAATACCATATAGCTGTTAATGTGGTATCTACGTAAATATATCCAGTGCAAAATTTCAGTCTGAACAGTAGTGGTTGGTAATTCTTAGTATTCAAAATTTCAGTCTGAACAGTAGTGGTTGGTAATTCTTAGTATTCAAAATTTCAGTCTGAACAGTAGTGGTTGGTAATTCTTAGTATTCAAAATTTCAGTCTTAACAGTAGTGGTTGGCAATTCTTAGTATTCAAAATTTGAGTCTTAACAGTAGAGGTTGGCAATTCTGTCTTCAAATTTTCAGTATTAACATTTGTGGTTGGTAATTATTAGTATTTAAAATTTCAGTCTGAACAGTAGTGGTTGGTAATTCTTAGTATTCAAAATTTCAGTTTTAACAGTAGTGGTTGGTAATTCTTAGTATTCAAAATTTCAGTCTGAACAGTAGTGGTTGGTAATTCTTAGTATTCAAAATTTCAGTCTTAACAGTAGTGGTTGGTAATTCTTAGTATTCAAAATTTCAGTCTTAACAGTAGTGGTTGGCAATTCTTAGTATTCAAAATTTCAGTCTTAACAGTAGAGGTTGGCAATTCTGTCTTCAAATTTTCAGTATTAACATTTGTGGTTGGTAATTATTAGTATTTAAAATGTCAGTTTTAACAGTAGTGGTTGGTAATTCTTAGTATTCAAAATTTCAGTCTGAACAGTAGTGGTTGGTAATTCTTAGTATTCAAAATTTCAGTCTGAACAGTAGTGGTTGGTAATTCTTAGTATTCAAAATTTCAGTCTTAACAGTAGTGGTTGGCAATTCTTAGTATTCAAAATTTCAGTCTTAACAGTAGAGGTTGGCAATTCTGTCTTCAAATTTTCAGTATTAACATTTGTGGTTGGTAATTCTTAGTATTCAAAATGTCAGTTTTAACAGTAGTGGTTGGTAATTCTTAGAATCCAAATTTCAGTCTGAACAGTAGTGGTTGGTAATTCTTAGTATTCAAAATTTCAGTCTGAACAGTAGTGGTTGGTAATTCTTAGTATTCAAAATTTCAGTCTTAACAGTAGTTGTTGGTAATTTTTTAGTATTCAAAATTTCAGCCAAAACAGTAGTGGTTGGTAATTCTTAGTGTTCAAAATGTCAGTGGACGAGCTCCAGGCAAGGTTTTCGATGTTTTCTGAAGCTTGATTTTAGGATGGACCAGCTGACAGTGGTCTAATTATCAGATATGTTTCTTCATGATTAGACACAAGCCGTATATTCTATTGCATATATCATGATTACATGTTTTCAAAGTGCATGGAAGTTACCATCACCTTAACGCTAAGATGCATTGTACAACGGCCCTGTTCATGCACATAGGGGAGTTGTTCCACAAAGCGACACTAGCCCCCAGACTGTCGTAAGTCTGTGTTAAAGTATGGGAGTTACGGCAGTCCTAGAATTAAGATTGCTTTGCAAAACAGGGCCCTGCTCATGATCATGAATTAATTCACATCTTTTATCCATAATTATATGTCAAACAAATATTTGTTATCCATTATTATGCAGTAAAAAGATTACACTTGCGCAACACCTTTAATCATGATCAGATTGAATTGCATGGAATTTAATTGCTCATGATTATGCATCAATTTTACAGCAAGCTTTTATGTTCATGATTTTAAATTATTCAATCCATGTCCCTTATTGCACAGTTTGTGATTATATATAAAGTGTATAGGAGAACCACTTTTATTGTTTTGTATCATACAGTTTACACATAATACACGTTTTACCTATGAAATGTTATTTTGGGAGCATCTTCAGACCTCATAAGCTGTTTCATTTTATATATTTATTTATCTTTTATCAGTTTCAAGTATCTTAACAAATGATATGTTTATTGACATCAAACAAACACATCTGAGAATGATCAGATATAGTAGTTTCTGTTTTATGTACACCTGACATACACCTTAGATATATAATTGTGCCATCAATAAACACAATTCTCATTTCAGCTGTTTATACTTTATATTTACAAAATATATTGCAGTGTCCCAATTGCCCTTTATTTCATGTATAGCCGTGCTTAGAAGTAATGTGATTTTATCTGTGTTTGTTCACTTCTAAACACAGGATTTTCGCAACTGCCTGTAATTTTATTGATAGCCATGTTTAGAATTGAGTGAGTTTATATGTTTTTTGTCACTCCTAATGACATGGCAGAGGTTTTTTTTTCTTTTACGCGAGATTTGTCTTATGTGTATATAAAATGATGCTATTCATCGCTTTAAACTATTTACACTGGGGTATAGACATTTTATGTGACGAAATTAATAGCTGATTTTCTTTGCATATAAAATAGATAAACAAATAAATGGATGGATGGATGAATGAATGAATAAATAAATAAATACATCTGTTTGTTATTGAACAACAAAAATTTGATATTTCTGTTCTGGATTTCGCATTGATAAAGTTGTCCAGGTGAATTGATTAATAAACTTTAAGGTGTCTGACCGAGGAATGCTGCTGCTGTTTTTATGGTACATGTATAATTATTTTGCTCAAATATAAATGTTCTTTCCCTTTCAAACTGTTGAACCTAAATGAGGAATGAAAGCAACAAAATCCTTTAGCATCACTATTCAGGTGTACGACAACAAACATTCCTTGGTAGAATCTGAGTTTATTTAAATTTATGTTTTCAAGTTTAACATCTTACACAAGTCCTTTCAGGTTCCATCTTCAGCGAGTGTTTGGGGTTA